AAAAAAAGCCAAAGAAGCCTTACCAGACGGCAGTTGCAGCAGACGTCCGCACAGCATGATCATGTGGACCCATGGAAGCTACAGGTTTATGGCAAACCTTTGGTGGTTTGACGCCGATCAGCCTCATCCATGACCTCGAAAGTAGTACCGAACACTCGGTTCAACAGGGTACCTTTGCGTTCAACAGAGAAATATCAGATTCCCGTTTCAAGATGAGATAGGTTGATCAGAGGGGTATATAAATCAGACTCACTTTTTCCACTCGATTGTGATCCAAATACTGCTACCAAGTCATAATTGAAACCCTTTTCGAGTAAACCCCAATTTTCGATCGAGCTCGACAAGTCGGTCCTAATGATCGAGAATTTAAGCAAATCAGCTCATGATCACCATAGGATATAGGAACATGATATTTGATATCTGAATGCCAACGTGAATCTTTGTTCTTCACCGATCACTTGTAGTCGTTCTGTCATATGGTTTTGTATTCCATTTTGAGCCATCTTGCAGGACGAAGATCGACGAATATGAATTCTTGGTAATATGTATTTTTGAGTTCCTCGAGTTTCCAATGAGAGCGATAGTTGGGGAGTTAGGAGTGATATCAAAAAGACAAGGGGCTAAAATTTATGAGGATAGCTTGACGATGTTTCCGATGAATAGCTGAGCTGTCGAGTGAAGTTTAACTTTGAAGTTGAAACTTGATGAATGACGATGAGTTCTTGATAGATACTGGTGGTAGGCGGGGTGTCTGATCCGGGTACAATAAACCATACCCGATCCGTCGAGTAGGACATGATCAGATTAATTCGGATCGACCGGTGAGATATTTAAAATTCCGGATCAACTGATCATGCTGTGGTCATTCCTATGCGCTTTCACTTTCCTTATCATGCACTCAATCTCCCTGAACTAAACATGATATATAACTGGACATGGACTCTTTGTGGCATGAGAAGCCTGTGAAGATGATTGATTTCATACAACACCTCTTAAATGATTCCTTGTGTGGCTGAACAGGGCTGAACACCACCCAATTGCTAAAGGCTCTTTGGATCTTACTCTATCTTACTTGAGGGTGACAGCTGCGAGCAAGTTGCAAACACATCCCAGATTCAAGCAAGGCATGCCAATTTTACACGAGATGCGGCTACATAGAAGTCCAATGTGAGGGATATGTGTCTCTACCGGCCCCCTCATAACAAAGGGTGACCACTATGTCAGAATGACCATACAAGGGATTGATGTGGGCCCCATCATGTGAGCAACATGTATTGCTTGACTTAGGGTGTTGTGAAGAAGCTCACCTTGGCTTCAAGTGAGAAATCAATGAGCAGTGTGTGACAGATGGGTCAGCATTGGCTGCTCCACCCATGATTTTGAGAAGGCCACTATGATGCTGATTTTTTTTAGTTTACAGACAGCACATGATCTAAGAAATTGATAGAGAACAACTTCAAAAGAATGTATAATCAAGTTGAGACAATTGAAAGATACAAGATTGGATTTGTTCCAAAAAACAAATACAGATGCCCAAAAGGGAAGTAGCTAATGTACAGGGACGACTTGCTGTGAATTAACTACAGCTAAACTTCCACGGTGGGAAGCTTCTGGTCAGTGATAGCAGACTCAATTTTTTTGGTAGTCAAAGACTCCATTGCTTTCAAACCACAAGTGCAGTCTGGGGGTAACATATCTTCTTTTGGGGGCACATTGGAATACAATTTTGATGATTTAAAATACTTGGTGTCAAGCTTTATGAGAATTTTGTAGAAGCTGGGATCAGGAGGAATGTCAGCCAGGAGCAATCAAACAACATAAAAATTAAATCCACTTATGCTTTACCATCCATGGGTCCCAATTTGAGTTTGCAAGTCCTCAAGTATTTCATCAAATTTGTTGCATAAGAACCAATGACTATTGGAGGTTGGGTTTTGATACAACAAAACTGTATATATATGCTAGGAGACAGAAATAATCCCAGTCTGATGACAGAGAGAATCAAGCAACAAGGACTTACTCACAGCCCCCATCTACTGGGCTCTGGCAGGCCAGAGCCTACCACTTACTCCATGAAAGAGTCATGAAAGATTCATAAAAGATTCATGAAAGATTCAGAAAGGGTGCAACAAAGCTTCACTATGTATTCAATAAAGCTTCAATGTAACTTCAGCTGGATATACGATCCAGCACAAGTGACATGGATTCATCTCATATCAAGAAATCAATCATGGGCTCAGGTTATGTTTTTTTCTTATACAAAAGCTTATCTCAAATTAAAATAACCACATAAAAGTTGTCATGTCTAGAATATATTACAACTTCAACATACACATTTATCTCACTCCATATCCATTGCATCTTCGTCATGGCTATCTTGCACAAATCCCTACCAGTGAATATGAAAAAAATTAGTATACAGAAACGCACTGAGTCTCTTCAACCACTCACAATATTTGCTAAGCCAACAATTGAAAGTGTTGCGTTGTGGATATCAAATGTACCAGTGGGGTTCTTCATGACAACTAGCTGTCCAATTATGTCCTTGACTTGAATTACATGATATTCCTCATGTGAATCATAAACAAC